TCCATCAGCAGAAGAATGGCTAAACAAACCTGGTATGTATACACAACTGAATACTGCACAGTGTTGAAGAATAACAATGAATCTGCAAAACGCCCCATCACTTGGGGTGACATTATGCTGAGTGAAATTATTCAATCATAAAAGGACAAATATTGTATGAGACCACTGTTATAAAATGTTAAGAAAAGGTTTTCTTGATAAAAGAAACATTCTATGATGGTTACTGGGTTGGAGGGATTGTTCATGCGTTAGAGGGTAGACACTTATTAACAAGGGCCATGGGGAAGACAATACACAACAAGAGGGAGGTTGGCAGAGGAAAGATGAAGGTAGCAGGAGACACAGGGAGGAATGCAAGAGTTAAAGTGATTACAGATAAATACGGTAACTGATGGCACATGGAGGGGATTTCCATCATTGTAAAGAAGCAAAGCATATGATGTGTTGCTGTAAAACTGATGATCTGCTCTGCAAACCTTCAATCAATTCACAATAAAAAAGAAAATTAATAATTAATAAAATTATAATAATAATTCTGCACTCTTCAATTTATACCAGATCAAAACAGCAGTTTTAGTAACTTCAAGGGGCTCAAATTGTGTTCCTTAGAAATGTTTTTTGAGTTTGGGGAGTAAAAAGAAGTCTGTAGGGGCAAGATCAGGGACATAGGGCAAGATTAGGGTGGAGTAAGGTTTCCAACAAAATTCTCATAGAATAACCCTTGCTATCCTCAAATAGTGAGGAGGTGCATTGTGATGGGAAATGCAAATTTTTTTGGACACAAATTTCCTAGCCTTTTTCTCACCAATGCAATTTTCCGTTTTCTTAAAATGTTTCCTAATAAGCCACCATGATCATCCCATGCCTTTCAAGAAATTCTATCTGGGATAAAGTGGGAGAAAATGTGGAACAAAACTCAAAATTATTTTACCAAGACTGGGATTACTGGTCAAAAAGAAAGTATAGGAACTTGAAACCATGGACCTCGACCATCTTTCAGGTCTTGAATGGAACTCATCCCAGTTTCCCTATTTTTAGCCAAGCAGTAGACAGATGTATAGCGGAGGAAACAACACTGGTAAGGTATGCTCACTATGGAATGGCCAACCATTCAAGATCAAAAGGGCAACATTTACCTAAAACAAAGTTGAGAAGCGATGGGAAGTAGGGTTGAATATAGATGGGAAGCACATGGAGGAAACTGCATAACTGCTGTTGCATGGAGGAGATTGCAATCAATGAAATGAAACAAAGTGAATGATTTGTTGAATGTATCTTGTCTGTAAACCTTCCCTTAATTCACAAAAGTGAAAAAAAGCAAACCAACACAAAACTACCCCTTTGTAGTCCCACAGCTGACACAGTTTTCTGAGATGACCTCTCTGCCTTAAATTTAACTGGACCAGAAGGTCCCCTTGAGAAGCCACTCTTTTGATTGGACCTGTTTTTTGAAGGCAACTTAATGAGACTAATGGAATCCTAGTGTGATGCTGTGGGTTCATGCACTGGACTGCAAGGTCAGTTTGAACAGCAAGGTCGGTTGTTCAAGCTCACCATCTGCTCTTTGGAAACCCTATACAGGGTCATTCAATGACACTTAACAACAATAACAATAAGACAAGTGTACTACTGGGAGAAATTGTCTGCAGTCATCAAGTGAATGCAGAGATGCATTTAAACACATTTTTCCTGGAATAAACTTGTGCATGTATGTATTGCAACCCTAGCAGCAATACTTTTTGACTTGTCCTCAGATTATGAAGAAATCTCTGCAAATTTCAATCTACTTATATCTAAAGTGGTGTTACAAATAGCTTCTATTGTTCAAGGGAAACTTGAGGATGAAAAGATCTAATAATTAGCAAATAGCAAAGTATTCAAGGTACTCAAGGTCATCTGAAAGACTCTTTCCTCCTTTGGTCCAAAACTGTATTTGTTTTGTGTGTTGGAGCGGATTCGGACTCATAGTGACTCTATATGACAGAGTAGAACTGCCTCATAGAATTGCTCAAGCTATTGTTGTTGTTAGGTGCCATCGAGTCCTACTGACTCATAGCGACCTTATGCACAGCAGAAGGAAACACTGCCCGATCCTGGGCCAACCTCACAATTGTTGCCACACTTGAGTCCATTGATGCTGCCACTTTGCCAATCCATCTCTCTGGGGGTCTTCCTCTTTTTCTCTGACCCTCCACCTTACCAAACATAATATCCTTCTCCAATGACTGGTCCCTCCTGATAATATGTATGAAGTATTAGAGACGAAGTTTGGCCATCCTGGCCTCCAAGGAGCACTCTGGCTACACTTCTTTCAACACAGATCTGTTGGTTCTTTTGGCAGTCCATGGCACATTCAATATTCTCCTTCAATCTTCTGAAATGTATAAAATGTGTAGATTGATGAGTTCACAACGAGAGAAGTTTGGAACATATGAGGCCTCATATCTCATACCCACCTTAACCTACTTTTAACGTACTTCAGAGGTTCACCTTTCATAGAGTCCTTGGTAAATGGTAGTATTTGTTATTGTTGTTGTTATATGCCATGGAGTAGGTTCCGACTCATAGTGAGCCTGTACAGGGTTTCCGAGGCTGTAAATCTTTATGGGAGCAGAAAGCCTCCTCTTTCTCCCGTGGAACAGCTGGTAGTTTCAAACTGCTGACCTTGCGGTTTGCAGCCCGATTCATAACCACTACGCTACCAGAGTTCCTTGGTCTTTGTTAGTAGTGTTGTAAATTTCAAAGAGAAAGTACAATTTAAGATTTTTCATCTTCAGGTTGAATTTATCAAGTGAGAAAGTATTTTCTTTGAACAAATTGTAAGACAGTCTTTCATCAAACATCTTACAACACCAAAGGGGTGGTGATTCAAACAGAAAGTAGAATCTGATTGAGTGTTCATATATGATCGTATGTATTAGCAGGGGACAGAAAGAAAAAGCTTGAGATGGAATAGTGGAAGAAGACTTTAGCAACAAGCTCATCCTTAGGACTCTTCTTGGATCCTATGATACAGCAATTTGTGACTATTGATTTTTTTTTTTTTTTTTCCAGCTGTACAAATGCCTCATTTATAAAAGATGAATAACTTGATTCAAAGGATCCTAATACATTTCAGCAATATGAGTGCAATTTAAAAATAGAAATACAGTACATATAAATTGTCCATTAACATATTCTTTTACTTTCTACAAAATCTTCAATTAAAGAATGATAGTTTAGGTAAGTTACCCCATTTTCCCAGCATTTGTTGGGTCAGACTAGCTAACAAACCAAAGGATGTCACACAACCTTTGAAGTTTCAGGATTCCTATCTATTAGATGAGGGCGCTGGACCACTGCCCTTCTACATCTCCCCAACCTAGAAAGGTGTATGCTCAGAGAATTGTTAATTTTACAGAATCTTTTTGAGACTGAGGTGTTTTTGCTCAACACGTTTCCCAGATAAATAAAGCTCTCTGGTTAAAATGGCAGCTTGTAGTCACATTTAAATTTAATATTAGATGTGTTTCCCTGTCACTTAAAAGAAGATAAAGTCTGACTAGTATCAATTTCCTAGGTTTCACAGTTTCTTAGACTGTGCAGCTTGATCAAGTGATCCACAGAGATGGCTTGGACCCTGGCTCACATTTTTTGTAACTTTGGGCCAAAATATGAGTCAAAACTTGCTCTGTTTCTCATTGTTTTGAAAACCAATACTGATGGGGCTTCTCAAAGTTCGTGGAACATTCCGTTCTCTTTAAATTCCATTTTTCTACAAACTTTTTGAAACCTCTTTGTATACCAAAGTATCAGTCAACTACATGTTAATTAATTATATAAAAATGCAAAGACCTGTTGTAATGAACCTAAGATGACTTTTTCCCATGAATAAAGTCTAGATATTTTGATAAAAAATGTTCTTATGTTAGGGCTCATAATGATCAACAGAGTCCATTCATTAAGTTTTCTGACTGTTCCCTTGTGGTCATTTCGTTCTCCTTCTCATTTGCTGCTGTATCTTTTAAATGCAACAGCCCTGAGATTCAGGTACTTTTTCCTACAGTCTAGCAATCTGACTTGAAAATAGGCAGAAACCAAAACTCCAAGATCTATGATTTAAGCAAACGTGTGGCCACTATTCTCTTTAAGAGAGTGGTTCCATTAACTAAACGAGACATCAGATGAACCTAGGAAATGCTCTAAAATCGGAAGCCCTACAGATTCTGATTCAATGTGTGGGGTAGAGTCTGGAAAAACTGTTTCTCAAAAATGCCCCCAGATAATATCCATATAACCGATTAGTTTGAGAGTCACTGCTTTACCCTCCCGATCTGCTTCAAAATTTTAGTAGCAGCTAGTTTGCTTGTTTTTTAAGATGAAAAATTTCCTCTTGCACTGACTTCATGTACATTTGGACTAGAGTGCCTGTGACCTTGGCTAGAACTACTCATTACAATCTCTTGCAGGGAAATTTGAAAATGGCTTAATTGACTTCAGAGTGAAGACAATTTGTGTAAATGCTGAAAGGTAACTGGTTCTACACTGAGAGGGCCACTGTTCTGTTTTTCTTGTCACTGGTCCTTTATAAAGACCATCTTATTACAGGTGTCAATGGCAGAACTCCTCCAAACCACAGAAGGATGGCTAGCTAGTCAGTGTTATCAAGAAAATGTATCTGGTAGACATAAACGTAAAGTATCTCTTAAAAGTACATAGCTTCCTGTAGAAATCCTAAAACTCCCAAACTTCTGAAGTACCATAAAGAGAAAAGCAGGCTAAAACACAGTTGCTTAAAACATATTCAGATGACTTGAAAATATACATGTAAAATAGGTACCATTTCCTCCCTTAGGAGGTTAAACAGGCGTGAATGGAATTCTGTGTCCATTTATTCTACCCCATCATGTTAACTGTGAAAATGGCATGTAAAGTATTTGCAATAGTAGAGTTCTGGACATAGTCCCTTCCAAATTCAGCGCAAAAGCCATGTTTGGGTTCCCCAGGTATCCCAAGGGTCTCTAGGCACTGCGGAACGTAGTCATGTCTTTCGGTTTTCTGCTGGGGACACACCAGTCATCAGCCTCGTGGTTGGTGTTGTAATGCTTCCAGGCAGCTTTGTTGTATACTGGGAGTCTTTCTATGGAGTCTGTTGACAGAGCCTTAATGTAAATAACTGCATCTGTCCCATAGCCTTCCAGGGAATACAGCTTTAGGTCTCCTTGGAAGTACTGTGCATAAAGCCGAGATATGGGTAATCCATAACCAAAACCAGCCAGGGGCACTGCTCGAGATGTCTCAACACAAGGGCGGGGTGCAGTGGAATACATGTAGTTGAAGAGTCTGTCAATCTTCCTCAGAGGAACACCCCCTCCACGGTCACTCATCTTCACCGTCAAATCCTCATTACCTAGTGTGACGTGAACCTGGATAGGGGGGTAAACTCCTTTATCAGCATGGTGCTCCATGGTTGCTCTCATTGCATTCTTGAAAAGCTCATACACCATGTGATAGAGGTGGGATGGTACATAAACCACTTGTATTGGTTGTCCTGGTGATTTTGCATTTAGTTCTTCAAGTTTCAGTTCAGGAGAGCTAATGTAATATAAATCACATAGATGCCTAGCATTTTCATAGCCATCTTTAATGACTTCAACTACGTTACAGTTTGGATTTATGCTTCCAATGTGTTTCTGATGAGAGAGGCTTCCTTTGCCTTTACCACCAAACAATAAAGAGTGTTGATTGAGTAACATTCTAATAGAAATGCGACTCATGTAGAAATGGTCCAAGAAGTACTGAACATTCTGGCTGGTGACAGGATCCACCCAAAAGCTCTCCTTATATTCAACCACACCCTGGGCCATGGTGGGAATGACATCATTGTGTCGGTTCCTGATCCGTATCACAGTATCTGTAAAGTCATAAATAGCTTTAGCATCTTCAGCACTTCTGTCCTTAAAATCAAGAAGCTCCTGAAGACTCTGAATATACTGGCAGTTGTCCCTTGTGTTCAATCGCAGGTTCCGAAGACCTAGAACTGTGGGCCTTCTTGGTATCCCATCGAAGAGCCCAATGGCTACTGACAACACCGCCAACAACGACAAAGCCATCGCCGACTGTGGTCCAAGACCAAAGACCAAAGACAGCCTCGTCGCCCCAATGCCAGCGGGAAAAAGCTACAGAAAAATGACCTTCGTCCCTTCTCCCATGGGCATGGATCATAGAGACGGCCATTCATTTGTCTTATTTAACCAAACTGACTATTGATTTTTAAGGTGAAAGGAATCATGTTGTTGTTAAGTGCTGTTGAGTTGGCTCCGACCCATAGTGACCCTTTACAGGGTTTCCAAGGCTGTAAGTCTTTATGGGAGCAGAAAGTCTCATCTTTCTCCCGTGGAGCGGCTGGTAGTTTTGAACTGCTGATCTTAAGGTTCGCAGCCCAATTCATAACCACTACGTTACCACAGCTCCTTGAAAGGAATCATAGGTGTATTTAATTTCACCCTTTTGAATGGGGTGGGTGAGAATATCATCAACTTGTTTCACTTTTCACAGAATCTGGTTAATCCTTGGCCAAGTTCATTTTTTTTTTTTTAAGGGCACAGTGTGGTGTTGTGGGCTAATGCATCAGACTGTAAAGTCATTTGAACTGCAAGGTCAGTGGTTCAAGCTCACCAGCTGCTCCTTGGAAACCCTACATAGGGTTGTTATTTGTCAAAATCGACTCAATGGCACTTAACAACAACAACATCACTGTCCTGGAGTCCTGGTGTGGTGTGCTAGACTGCAAGGTCAGTTTGAACCATAAGGTCATCAGTTCAAACTCACCAGCCACTCTTCGGAAACCCTATATAGGATTACTATGAATCAAAACCGACTTGGGGGCACTTAACAGCAACAACAACAATAACAATCACTTTCCTGGTGTACTGGCACAAACTGTCATGCTAATTGCACTCAGCAACTGTTTAATTTGATTGTTTGTTGCTGAATCCAATTAATTACTATGACAGTTTGTGCCAGTACACCAGGAAAGTGATTGTTGTTATTGTTAAGTGCCATAAAGTCAGTTCAGACTCATAGCCACCCTATATAGAGTTTCCAAGAGGCAGCTGGTAAATTTAAACTTCTGACCTTATAGTTCAAACAAACCTTGCAGTCCAGTGCAGTAACCCACAGCACCACACCAGGAGGTATACCTTTAGAATAATATGTCTCAGTTATTCTCCCTTGTCTTCCAAAAGATTTTGTACTGTAGTACTTAACATTGTGATATAATTTTCTCTTGCACTATCTAATATTTTAGTTACTTCTCTTTTTACCTTACACCATTTTCCTTGAAGGCAATAAAATTCATATTCTTGAATTACCAGAAATTCATGACAATGTTTGATGCTTAGTAATTTAATACCTATAGGTGGGAATTTATTACAGACACTCAGCTGATTTCTCTCCTTTGTGCTCTTATTAGAATTTGAGCCTGTACTTAATTTTCTGTTTTATTCTATTGTTCCCTAATCCAAAGCCTTGCTGACAAGATTCCCAGCTACTTAAAAAAAAACAAAAGTTTTGAGTAAATGTCAGAAGGTACAAGTAGCATTTACTCAGAAAATATTTTTAGAGCAGTTGATGGTGTTTACAGTTAAAGCGATAATTGAAGACATCATTTTTAATTCAGAAGCAAGTAAACAAAAGGGTCTTCTCAGCTTGAAACGAGTTCTCTTTTTAAAACATTTGTCTAGCCTGGAGAAGAAGAGCAAGTATTAACTTATTCTCAGCCTGTAACCTTTACTCGACACCAGTAGCCACCTTCTTATTTAGAAGAAAGCTCCATAGTCAAACAGTTTGAATTTAATTTATCTTTGTTTCACTTTTTAATTAAAAATATTCTGACTAGGTAGTTTACCAGCTACATTGTGTTAGCCCACATTTGTATTTTCTCTATGTGGCATACCTCAACATAAATCTTGCCTTTGGTCAATTAACATTCTATATTGCCAGTCCTAACACATCATTATATATAGACCTGGTTTATTCTTTGTATTGTAGCATGGTGTTGCATCATGCAGATGGACTATTTTTTATTGAATCTGCTTCCACTGACAAACATTTATGCTGTTTTACTATAAGGAGCTCTGGTAGCGTAGTGGTTACGAATCGGGCTGTGAACCTTAAGGTCAGCGGTTCGAAACTACCAGCCACTCCGAGGGAGAAAGATGAGGCTTTCTACTCCCGTAAAGATTTACACCCTCGTAAACCCTGTACAGGGTTGCTATGGGTTGGAACAGACTTGACGGCACTTAACAACAACAACAACTATTACAAGCAAGGCTACAACTAATATTCTTCTACACAGGCCATTATACATATCTGCAAAATACTTAAGATACATTTTTAGCATACTTTTTCTGAGTCAATGAGCACATCTTTTCAATTTTATTATTTTGAGTCAACATACCCTCAGTAGATAACTGTACTCATTTACATGCCTATCAACAGTTCTATTTCTCTATAGCTTCCCCAACCCTATATCATCAGACTTGTTGATTTTACCAATCTAACAAATGAAAAGTGGAATTTCACTGTAGATTAATTTATATTGCTCTGTTTGTGGACTAGGAAGTACAAGTTGTCTGTTTAAATGCACCAGTTGTTCCTTAGGAACCCTGTACATGCTCACTACGAGTTGGAAACCATTCAATTGCACTTAACAACAGCAACTTGTAAATGAGTTGAACATCTTTTCATATGATTAAGGGACTTTGTGATTTCCTTTGATTAAAACATTTCTCCATGTCCCTTCTCCATTTTTCTTATGCACTGTACATCCTTTTATTAACTTGATTTGTAAGATCTCTTTATACATGAAGGAAAGTAACTCCATCATGTACTGAAAATGTTTTCATAGACCATCATTTGTGCTTTACTATTTAAAGACTGTTTCCATAATAATGAATGAGGATTTTAAGTGTATTTTTCCTCCTTCACCTTCTCATCTCTTTTTCACCCTCCTTTTACCTTCCACCCAAACTGATCACCCTTCTTTCTTTCTTTTTTTTAAATTTATGAATGAAGGGGCTTTCCCTATTTCAAGATTGCCTAGATCAGGGCTCTCTAAAGGATCAGAACGAGTAAGGTATGTAGATAAATTATATGGTATATAAATTATAGCTCAAAAAGACTGATTTTTAAGACTGGATTGGTTTCAATCTTGGGTGTGCTTCATTCTTCCTTGTCTATCTTCTCACTGGTGCTGGAGAAGTTAGCTGACATGTTAGGTGGACACTAAGTGGGCAACTTATGGAGAAGTCCATGTGGCCACGAAGTGACTGCTGTCAACACCAGATGTGGAGTTTGGAAGTGAGTCTTCCCTTGTCTGAAAGCTTGACTGAGTCATCAGGAGAGACCCTGAACTAGAATCAATTTCAATTATTGACCCACAGAAACTCTGAGAGGATGAATGTCTTTTGGCTTTTGATGCTCTGTTCTGGGGAAATGTTTTACATAGCAATGTTGTTGTTGTTATGTGCCATGGAGTCGGTTCTGACTCATAGCAACCCTGTACAGGGTTTCCAAGGCTGTATGCCTTTATGGGAGCAGAAAACCTCATCTTTCTCCCACGGAACAGCTGGTAGTTTCAAATTGTTGACTCTGAGGTTAGCAGCCCGATTCATAACCACTACACTACCAGAGCTCCTTTACATAGCAATAGGTAACTATACTTGTAACAGATGGTGACTTCAAGAGCACTTCCCAAGAACAAACTGCAACTCTTGTTTCAGAATGTTTCCTGGGAAGTCTGATCTAATAAAAAAAGCAAAAGCATATGAGTATTCCCCTCAGGGCAAACCCACTTCTAAGACTGAGACTCAAGGGAATACACGAGTAGGAATGTGATCTTGCTGGTGACCACATTGGTCACCGATAAGGGGAAGTGGGGGAAAAATGGCAATGAAGTTGTGAGCTAGTTTGACCATATTCAATAGACTCCTGTGAACCCGGGTTGAGACCTGGTTGACCAGCAGTATGGCACGACCTGGGGACTCCTGGCCCCAGACACAGCAATATGGCTACCGAGGACTAGAGCAGAGTGTGAAGCATTCAGCTGATATGAAGTGAGGTGAGATACACAAGAACACCCATATTTGCAGATAGTATCCACTAGACCTGGCTTCAATGGTTGTATGATCAGAACTCATGTAGAAGAAGAAAGAAGAGGAAAAAAAGTGTAATCCATTACAATTTGATGAACTTGATCTATACTTATGGATGTAGTAGCTCAAAAGAGGGAACAAATCTTTACAGCGAGGATCATTCCCACTCCCTCAGTACACAGGGTTGACATGGATAGGCAACTTAGACATAATCTACCCAAAATGGGGGGATACAAAGGTAAGAAGTGACTAGCTTACAAACTTTCAAGAGGGAGCATAGATCCAGAGGGTGCGGAGGAAGTTAGAATCTCCACTGAGTGTTTTTCCAATCTGTCTGGACGGGGCTGGTCACAGGAGATGGGAATGACTCTTATGGTTCAATATTGAATAATTGCTATCAGGACTGACTGTGAATGTTGGAAATGTAAAGGTAGACGTTTTGTAACAAAAGGAAAGTAGTGGTTGATTTTGCAGTCCAGGAGTAGAGGTCCCTGGGACCATCAAGGGAGAAGAGTGGAGTGTGGGACTCTATCCAGAGAAGCTGTGATGCCAGAGATGGAGGCAGAGACGATGACGTGAGAGATGAAGCGGCTGGGGACTCTGGACTCAGGGAGGGAGAAGGTCTGTGTGGTGACAGCCAGGGGGTAGGCTTACAGGTATACCCTTTGGTTGTTTGGTAATGCATGGAGGGAATTGTAATCATTGAAATTAAATGAAATATGATAGGATAAATGTAAAGCTGATGTTCTCCCATGTAAATGATCACTTAATTCATAATAAAAACATAAACAAAAAAATAGCATATGAGCATTACAGGGCTTGCTGTTTCTGAGGG